TAATTCCCCTACAAGCAACCTTAACACCCATAACTTTTTTGATACTGCAGACAGATTAGGCATTATCTCTTGGTAGGATTAGGGACCATATTCAGTTGAGGAAATGGGAATGGGGATTATGTTATTTTGCATCCTGTGTAGTTGTGATTGCTCCATTTTGGCTCTTCTCTTCCTTGTCAAAAAACAATCCTGCCCTCAGATTCCAAGATTTGTATAATTGGAGAACCCAGGAAGGTAGCTACACACACACACACACACACACACACACACACACACACACATATATATATATATATATATGTATATGTATATGTATATGTATATGTATATGTATATGTATATGTATATGTATATGCATGTGTACAATAGTGCTGATTGTTTAGAACAATAATATGGTAAGCAATTGATTTACCATTGTTGAAAACTGATTTACAGTAACTTAGAACAACCACACTTTCGTTGAATTAGTAAATTGTGTATTTAAACAAAGACGGTATGTTAGGCAGTTGTTCAGAAGAGCACCATTTCCAAAGCAATGAAGTGTTGCCTAAAACTTATTCTTTGAAAATCCCTTATTTATAAGGTAGAGTTAAAACAGAGAATGAATATAATATGTGTGTGTATGTGTAAACACATGCCTATACATATATATGCCTATATATAATATATGTGTACATATGTGTATAGGTATGTGAGTGTGTGTATATATGTGTGTATATGTATAAAACATGCATATAGACAGACACTTAAATAAGGAAGATAAGGGAAATTGGTGGTCCATTTAAAAAGGGCAGAACCATCAGGTTTTGAATTTTTTTTTAAATTTTTTACAAAATGATGTACCAGAAAGGCAGAACAATCTTTATTGTGGTCTCTAAGCCCCAGCTCTACAGGGACATACTTGCAGAAGATTCCATTCTTTAACAGTAACATTTCCTTTTATAATCTGGGCATCATGAGCAGTTCAGAGTCAAACAGGCAGTTTGAGGAGCTTTATAAAAGACACATGCCAGACTTGGGTGGGTGTGGGGGTGGGGGTGGGGGGTGGCAGTTTTATTGACAATGATGTGCAATGAAGTGACAAGATGAGAGCAGAATGAAAAAGCTTTGAATTTGAAGTGATTTTTTCATAAGTTATTTATTCCTTTTTCTTTGTAAATATATTTATTTTATTGTGAAGCTAACAACATCTGGATTGTAACATGTACAGAATGTATGGTAGGAATGTATTCTCTTGTAGGAATGTAAATCTGTATTAAAAAGGGGATCAGAGCCAGACTCAGAAAATGAACTGGGTTCTTTTCATGGTATGCACGGTTCACATTTATTTTTACTCTTTTCTAATGTGGGTCTATTTGAAATATGCAAAAGGTATGGATGAAGATTGTTTTAATCCCCAAATTTTTAGGAAAATCAAGCATTAAAGGGTCGATTTTTAAAAGATTTTTAATAGCACTCCTTTCCCTTTATCAAGGAAGGAGCAACCAAATTGTCATGCTTGTTCATGGCAAGGGGTCCGAAACAAGCCTCAGATACACACCTGAGTGTCTTTCTCATTCATTATCAGTTGATGCATTTAAATACTGCTTTCCCTTAGGGTACCTTCACTTCCCTGAGGTAGAGAAAGGAACATTTTTTGAAGTAAATGAACTCTGAAGAGCAGTAATATGTAGTGTTACAGATCATTTTTAAAACTTAAATTTAGGAGTCACCTCCCTGAGGTAAGCAATGAATTAGGAATACCCCAGGGCACCCTTCTTAAATGACTAGTGAAAAATGCCGACCAAACCCCTCCCCCCACTTTGTGCAGGAGTTGGGGGGTTCTGCTGTCTGATCATGTCCTGGATTGTTTCAAAATGATTGTTGCAAATCTAACTGCCTGCCAAAATTCAAATCATCACATTCAACATGTTTTGGATGAGAAACAGTTAATTTCCTGCCACACTCGGGTACATTGATCCTGGAGAGGTTTGTGTAATCTACATGCTTTCAAAAGGCTTTTGGTGCTTCTTAAAATTGAAGCTGACTGATTCTTGAAAATGAGCCAATTTAAAATTTTGCTGAAAACAATAAAGTTTAATAAAGATTCTGCACTTTTGGGAAGAAAAACTATTGGAGATAAATGTAATCCACATGTAAACAGCAAAGATTCTGGAAAAGGTGTAAATAGTGTGAAATGTTTGGTGTATGACTGTTGAGAAGGGCGTGTTGTTAAAAAGGAGGCTGTAATTTCCCCCACAGACCTTAGAGCTGTGCCTTTTCTATGCAATATTACAGACATATACATCTGAACCCAGATTACTGTATTCACATGTAGGTATGGGCTGTAATCTAAACAATTGGATAAATGTACATGGAAATAAGCAGTCTTACTTTTGTAGTTTTATATTATACAATAAACAGTTAAAAGGATGGAGTTGTATTAGTGTTTTTTTTGGCTTTTCCATCTACATGAGTTGTTGAATACCTTATTACAATTTACGGTGTTGAAAAGGTAATGGCTTTTTTCTCTAATTATGAGTAATTAAAATTTAGTAAATCAACCAAATGTGTATTGAACATTGTTCAAAGAGCCTGTAGTCTTATTGAGAGGAGACAAAATATACACGATTTGTATATTTTGAAATGACTGCTTGGAGTTTGCAGAGGGGATTCCTTTTCCAGTATGGGTTGGAACAGACGACCTCTGGGGACCTCGTTCTGTGATAAAAGTCAGCATAGGTAGTAAACGTTGCTGAAAGGCAGTGACAGCAAGAAACCCGGTGTTCAAGTCTCCATTCTGATGCCAGCTGTGTGACCATGGACAAGTAATTTAACCTCTTTCAGCCTGAGTTTTCTTATCTAGAACAGGGAAGGTGTGGAATAATATTCTGAGGTGCCTTCCAACTCTGAAATTATATGGTCTGTGACGTGTATGATACCTATCTCACAGGGTGGTTATGAAAGACTACTTAGTAACCCTACTACTAGACAGAGATAGATGTGTGTGTGCCAACTACGTCGAGGTGAGCTAATATCTCTTGGCAAATGCATGATTTAGACAAAAGCTGTCCAAGTCGAAGGTATATTTTAGGACCTAGTTAGTAATAAAAGCTATAGAATTTTCATAAACACTTAAAAACTGTATAAGCTGATTTAAACTTCAGCTCTGTTTTCATTCTGGCATCAGTTTTAAGCTTTATCTCCCACCCCAGTCTTTCCCCTGTTCTCACATTCCAGTTTTTTGGGGTTTTTTTTACAGTTGAAAGTAGTTTGAGGAGCTATTGGGAAATAGAAAGGATCTCTCAGCTCCCTGGCTTGTGAAGAGGTTGTCATCAAACAAATATTCACTGAAGGCCTTACATGATATTAAATGCACAGTCTTACCAATTGTGTGGTTTTCAGAATCCATACTGCCATTTTGATTTCAGTGTGTGATGCTACTCATCATTGTAATTTGAATCAGAAGTTACCACCTCTCACTGACCTTTTGTGGTGTTAGAATCCAGGTCAGATCTGGATACAGGAATTTTATATTGCTTTTTTATGGGGGACCCCAAAATGTAAACAACTGGAGAGGGTAGGGCCAATGCCAGCATTGGCTCATTGCTTTGGTATCCCAGATCCAGAACAGCTTTCTGTCTCTTCTGCGACCAGCAAAGGCCTCCTCCCCTGTTTAGGAGCCTTGCAGCAAGTAATGCCTTACACTCAATGGAAAGACGTGGTTGCTGGAACTCAGAGCCTAAGAAATCTGGAGACAGTGAGTGGGAGGATCAGGGAGAAGCCCATGATAGTATTTCTGGAAAGTTTGTTTCCAAACTGAATTCTTGCTGACTTAAATATTTCTGTCCTCTAACTTCTCCCTTTGGGATTTGCCCTACGTGGTTGTGGGAAGTTGGAGTACAACCCCCCCACACACACACACACACACACACACACACACACACACACACACACACGTTCTCTTGGCCTTTCCACACCTTCTTTGTGGCCCTAAACCAGTGGGTCTGTCTCTGCTAGGGTATCCTGAAAATATCTGCATTTCCCCCCATTATTTGAAAGGGTGATTGTTGGCCCTGCCTGTCATTGTTTTTGGTTTTTAATGTATGGAGTTAAGGTGCCTCTGAAAAGCAATTTACAGTCTCCTACTCCGATGGCTTCCTGAAAACAATGGCAAAGTGCTGTCTAAATTATGTGATTCCATTGTTAGATTATATCCACCTCCCTATCTTCAGAGGAGGAGGTTGAAGGCCCCAGATCTTCTGCTATGCTCACTGTCTCAGCTTTAGGAGAGAGACTCAGCTAGAGTTAAGGGTGGTTTGGGAGACTCTCCCTACTCCAACCCCTCTTCCCCCCACCATTATCATTTGATCTCCCCTTGCTACTTTTTGACAGCAAGCTTCACTGATCTCTTAGAGTTGGGAAAGTCTATAGATTAGGGAATACTGGAAGACCTGGGTTTGAAACCTGCCTCAGACACTTAGTAGCTATATGGAGCTGGGCAAATATCTTAATCCAGAGTGAGATGGGGATGATAATAACACCTACCTCATAGGGTGGTTGTGAGAATGAAATGAGTGTGTTAAATGCTTTGAAAACCTCAGAGTGCTATATAAATACTTATTGGGACATTGGTTGAGAAAGACTTTTAACCCTTGCATTCCTAGTCCAGAGCACTTCAAAGCCATTTGGAGAGGACTGTATTAAAAGACTGTAACAAGGCTGACCTCACCTAGATGATGTAATAATAGTGATAGCTGGCAGTGTAACAACTGTGCATAAAGGCCATATCTTGGGGTCAGAAAGACCTGGATTCAAAGTTCTGATTGACACCTACTAGCTTATATGACCATGGGCAAGTTGCTTAACCCTTCAGGGTCCTCAGGCAAATAGCTTATCTATAAATTACAGATCAGTTGATTAGGATCAGTAAAAGATAAAAATAAGCAAAATTAGCCAAATTAAGCAAGATCAAAATGAATAAAAAGCAAGAATGAGGAAAAGATATGGCATACAATTGAAACAACCCAATTCTGAACTATTTTAACAAGTAATCAGGAATGAAAAATGGGAAAGTGAGATCAGAAATAGCAATGACATCCATTACAATAATTCTATACAGAAATTTAACTGCTATAACTCTATTGACACAACTGTATTGGCCTTCAGAAAGGAGCTTGACAGTTACCAAGCAGAGAAGGATGGCAGCCAAATGTAACACCGGTTTAGAATGTAAACTTATTCATAAAGTTATATGAAGAAGGATGATGGATGATCATAAGTAGTATCATCTTTTAAAGCAGAGAGAAGCAGTGGAGGGTACCGTTTAAAGAAAACTTAGCAAGATTACTGCTAAGCAAAGTCATCCCAGAAGCAATTAAAGACAAAAATGGAAGGACCACAAATAAGAAAAATGGGAAAGATCTGTCAAGACTAGTATTACCAACTATTCTTGCCATTAAGGAGAGTGGGACCCTACACTCAGACCCTAACATCACAGTACCAGGTGTTCTTATAGAAGAGGTAGAAATGGTGCTAAAGAGACACAAGATGGGAAATGGAAGAGTTTATAGAGGAGGTCTATGCTGAAGGAGTCATGATCACAAGCGGGCTAAGGAATGCAAGGTATTAGAGGGTGCCAAAGACATGGAAAGCAATTTCTGCCCTTGGTAAGGGCAGAGGGGGAGGGAGAAGAGAGAGAGAGAGAAAAAGAATCTATATTAAAAATTGAGGGCATCCTCAATGGGAGTTTCAGTGGGGAACAAGTAGGCTTCCACAATTGCTATTCAACAATAGATGTTGTCTTTATCATGTTACAATTCCCTGGTAGAATGTCAGATTCCACTGGGCTTGTTACTTGTTGAATATGTAAAAACATTTGGTTCAATAGTGCAAAACACCCCTTAAAGGCCCTTTTTCCAACAGTTTCTCCCATCCATACATAAAAACCATCTGAGATTCCTTTAAAAACATGATCACAAAAATAACCTTGTTCAACAATCATCATAAACTCAGGCAAAGTACAAAACAGTATGCTCATCAACTGTGGTAGCTACTGTGATCGAGTAGATCCATTGCAGAGTCTGAGTTGAAGAGGGCTTCTCTGTGGATGGTGAGTCTGTTGAGATGCTTGTGTTTTGGAATGACATTGTGCTGATTTTACTAAGCCCCATGACACCGTGGAGCCTCCTGGAAGAGATCTCTAACTATGAGAAAATCAGCTCTGGCCATCCACATGGGAGAAACCAACTAAATGAAAAGAATGTCAATTTCCCAGATTATCAAACGCATCTGTGTGGAAAGCCTATAGAAGCTGTCCATCTGTATGTATATCTTGGGACAGACAGTACCGGTGGACAGCGAGTTGGGCCCATAGTTGAACAGGTGGAAGAGCATAATCGAATTGCCTTTGGGAAAATACAAAACACTTTTAATGACCCCAAATTTCCCATGGAAATAAAACCCCATCTTTGTAATGCCTGTATTCTTTTTCTAGTGTTGTCGTGTGGCAGTGAGACTCGGAATACAACAATCTCTAAAGAATTAATAACATGTAATGGAGAATGCATGGAGGGTGGGCTGTGTGAGCAAGCTGCAGCATATAACCAATGGGTACCTTCAAAGAAGAAAAAGATACCATCAAGGAAATGGATGCTGAGAAGATGGGCTGGTTATCTGGCAAAGGTAAGAGATGACAGGTGTTCCACTGGAACCTCAAAATGTCAATACTTTGGGTAAACCTCCTATGGTGAATTGGTGAGAAGATTTGGACAAGGGTCACAGGGAATAGACAGACATAGCTATTGGTCGCAGTCTACATTGTTGGAGGAAATTCCCAAATCAATGACATCTTGGGTCCATGTATTGATCTGTGTTGGTAAATGGAGTTTATATATCTGGAGTTCCCCATGATGATGAAATCATGGAGGGAAGGGAGAGGAATAACTGTCACTTAGCGCTTTAAAATTTTCAAAATGGGGGCAGCTAGGTGGCACAGTGGATAGAGCGCCAGCCCTGGATTCAGGAGGACCTGAGTTCAAATCCAACCTCAGACACATAATGCTTACTAGCTGTGTGACCCCAGGCAAGTCACTTAACTCCATTGCCTGGCAAATTAAAAAAATAAAATAAATAAATAAAATAAAATTTTCACAGTGCTTCATCACAACCATGTGAGGTGGATATTATTAGGTAGTATTTATTCCTATTTTACACATGAGAAAAGTAAGGACTCCAAGTTTCTAACTTCACTCTATGCCTTGTATTGTCATGCCTCTCTATGATTCAAGGAGGGTCAGACCCTGACAATTCCCCACTCCCCAACCCCATCCACTCTACCTGTCAAATACCTTTAAATTCCCCATTACACAGTTATTCTCTCTTCAGGCTGCCTCTTTTAAAGTCCAAGTGCTCCAAGGTGGGTAATGTTAAGTTGTCCTTAATTTTTAACACCTTAATGTGAATCATTTGGTCGTATCCTAGCTCTTTGGTAGCTGGCTGAAGTGACAGCGTGAAGGAAGGAGAGTTTGGTTGGGAGAGAGGAAGAAGGAATAAAATTGGAGCATTGGGCACACTACTGAGAGAGGAAAGACCTGGAAGGTGGAGTGCCATGTGGAGAACTCTAAGTGTCCAGAGGAAAATATAAGGGCCTTAGGAACCTGAAAGGGAGAACATAAGGAATAGAAAAGGTGTAAGAGACAAGTTTTACCTACTTCATAATTTTGCTTAGAATTAATCCTAGTTTAGGGGCAGCTAGGTGGAGCAGTGAATAGAGCTCTGGCCTTGGAGTCAGGAGGACCAGAGTTCAAATCCAGCCTCAGACACCTGATACTTACTAGCTGTGTGACCCTGGGTAAGTCACTTAACCGTGATTGTCTCATCAAAAAAAAAGAAAGAATTAATCCTAGTTTGTAAAGTCATCTTTAAAAAGATTCTGTCCTAACACTGCAGATAGAGTGGAGACTCTGGTGTCTTTTCCCTCTTAATGTTCATTCAAATGTATCCTGCTTTTCATTCCATTCTAGAGTTTCTATAGATTAGAGGTTTCGTTTTAGGCAAGGCACTGTGCTAAGTACTGGGGATATGTACAAGAAAAGTCTGTCTAATGGGGAAGACAACATGCAAACAACTGTACAAACAGTAATATAGATAGAATAAATCAGAGATAATCTACAGAGGGAAGGCACTAGAAGTGAGGGAGATAGAGTCTAGTAAGATAATTTGTGGATTGTCAGGGTGAAAACCAGAGAGTGACAGCTATGGCTTCCCTCTGGAATTCAGGATGAGTAACCTGAACACAGCTGGTCAGAAACAATCCACAGCAAATATTTGGTTAGAATTGTATTTACCCTTCCATCCCCCCAATATTTTCCATGGCCCCCATGGAAGGAAAGGAGTGTGACAATGCACTTGACTAAACACAGAAGTAGAACTCATGAGAATTCAGGGACTCCAGTCCCCTTAAAGTCCTTCTCTTGCCTCACTCAACAAGAGATCTGAGTCACCAGTCACTGCGGCATTAGCCAAATCCTGAGAATTATCATAGAATCAATGAATGTGGCGAGTGCCTTATGCCTTATAGGCATAAGGCTTATATAGCATAGGGCTGGCCTTATGCCTAGTGAGCATAGATAATTGCCTGTGTGTTGTAATTTGAGTGATGCTGGGAAAATTTGGCTTCCCCAAAGTCTCTACACCCCACTATTCTTTATGTCTGAAAGTCTACCTATAAATTTTGTTCATTTGAGTTAAACGTTAGCCACCTCTCTGTGACTCTTCTTTCAAAAATAAATGGAAGCATCTCTAAGAGGAGTAGCATTGAGTCACTAATACTTTAGTGTGAATTAGTTTATCAGATTGCTTACTGTGCTGGGAGCTGGGCACCTGAATGATGGTGGGGGTGGGAAGGTAGTGAAGGGTGAGGAGCAGAGGAACCACAGTGAAAATAGTGGAAGGGGTACATTAAGAGGAAAGATGACTGGTGCTGACAGAAACCTTGGCTGACTTAACAATTTTATCTGGGACAGGCCCCAGAGTCTGTGGATGGGTTAGGAAATGTCACCCCAAACTTTGGCAGGTTACCCCTCTACACTGGGTTGGTATCTCCTAAAGTGGCACAATGTAAATGCATTCAGATAACCCAAACTCAGCACATCTCCAAAGAATGTGATTTACCTTTGTCATGCTCTCACTCACTCTGGGGTGCCCAATGACCCCAGAATCCTTGATGAAATGAATTCTGATCTGGGGAAATGTAATGGATCTCTGAATTCTCTTTGGGAGCCAACATGAGTGGCTTCAGGCTGAACCTCTCCACCATCTGATCCTCTACCCATTTCAACGCATGGGAATATATTCCACCCTTTTATTGGCCTTTCACTTTTTGAGGGATAGGCTTCCTGCATCTAGGGAGCAGGAATTTAGGGGAAAGGCCTATATGTCTCCTTGTACCTCAAGTTTGAGGAAATACCTCCAAGAGCTGGGATGGAGTGCTAGAGTTGAGACAGGGCATATAGGGATTGTTAGTGGTGAGACTTTTATGACAACATTCAAGACCCATCCTGGGCCTCTCAAATGAGGGACTAGTAGAAGTGATGGAGTTAGTGCTTTCCCCAACTGTGCTTTGGAGAGGCCACTGTTTCCTGTCTAGGGCTCTCCGTCCTCCAATATACCAGGCAGGAAGGGGGGGGGGGAAATCACTAATATGAGTCTGGGATGGGGATTATGGAGTCTAAACACAGGCTTATGGAATCTATGTGTATAGAACAAATTACTCCTTTATCTCTGCCTTCATACTGAAAAAATTATGAGGCTCAGCAGAGATGGCAAGAGCCACTTTGACCAGGCAGCAGACAGGGCCCTGACCGACAGACCTCTCCTCTCAGGCGTGGCGGGTGCGGGGGTGGAGGTGGAATGAGAGATGGGCTGGGGGTGGAAGGCTCTGTGATCTAATAGGGCATGTCCCGCTCTTCAATCTAGGTGTCCATGAGCCTGTCAAAGTGAAGGAAAGCAGAATCTGATGGCGGTGGTGGTGAGGAGGAAAACCAGATTTCCATGATCTGTTTCAGTCCTGGAAGGATGAATACAGGGCTTGTAGTTGGCTGGTGGAGTTGTCCTTGACCTTGTAGCTGGGGTGGGAGGCGAGGAGGGGTGGAGGTTGGCCTTATTAGTCCTGAAGCCAAGAAGCTGAGTGGGTCATATTACTACCCATGGCTCAGATGGGAGGTAGGGTGGCAGGGGTGGTTTGGGGGTTGATGGAGGAGGGCAGCAGGAGGAAACAGAAAGGTTCAATGGACCAAAAGCTACCAGCCATGGGGGTGGGGAAGATGCCCTAATTAGCAGTCATCAAAACTGCCGGGAGAACAAAGAGGTGACAGTTTAGGAAGACGAAGACTGGATTTGGGGTAAGGAAGAAAGAGAAACTGACTGGCCTCCAACCCCTTGTTTTCTAGATCCCTGGCCTTCACAATCTCAATTCCCTCCAGGTAAAGAATGGAGGGAGGAGACAAAAAATGAAAGGAACATGAAAAACCCAGCAACTCAAACACAGAGGAACACCCATGCATATGCTTGCCCCCCCCATACCCTAAAATGTCCATTGATTATAATACAAAAGGTCTTGGAGCAGAGGTCCTTAAACCTTCTTGTGCCATTAATGAATCCCTTGGGCAGTCTAGTGAAACCTGTGGACCCGACCCCATCTCAGAATTGTGTTTTTAAATGCATAAAATAAATACATAGGATTACAAAAGAAACCAATTATATTGAAATGCGATTATCAGAATATCTCTTAAATATCTCAGAATCTTCCCGAATTCCTGATCAAATGAGTATAACGGTTGTAATAATACAACCAGGAAATGTCTGCCTCCACAGAAAGCTACTAAAATGCATTTGGCTGATGCCCAGGCTTTCGTGTGTTACAGCCAGATTAATTAAGAAGAATAATAGTAATAGGAGTGATTAAAAGGAATATTCCAAATTCATAATACTTCCTTTGAGGATCACAGGGTGGCTTGCCCAAGTGATTTAATTTATTTTCAGAGCCTTGGATAGGAAGGCAAGGTCTAGCCTTATTATTCCCATTTTACAGATAGAGAAACTGAGACCTTGAGAAGGGAGAGTCAGCCTGTGACGGAGCTAGTTGTAGCTAGGGCCTACCAGCGGTGGCTCTTCTGTCTTTGGGCCAGGATTGTACCATGTAATTTCTCATTCTTCTCCACCCCGGATCCTGAGTTGTCACCTATGTGTTCTCCTGGCAGTTTTAATGATTGCTAATGAGGGCATTTTCCCCACCCCAACACCCCCTACAATTCCACACCCCCATGACCGGTATCTTCTGTCCATTGAAACTTTTTGTTTCTTCCTGCTGCCCTCCTCCATCCATTCCCAAAACCACCCCCTACACCGGACACCAATGAAGACAAGAAACACAATCCACATTCACTCGACTCTGGCCTTGGTTTAACAGGCTAAACAGAAGCCCAGAGAAGCTCATTATTATTTTTTTTTTCAATCAGCCACCATGGCATTGTCATTAGGTTTCTATGGGCACTGTGCAGATAAAATAATAAAATAATACTTGACTTTTACATCAACCTTTGAACTTTTTCTTAGTGCTTTATATCTAACAATAATAATAGCTAGCTTGAAGGTACACAAAAGTTCTTTACATATGTTATCTTATTTGATTCTCCCAACAACCCTGGAAGGTAGGTACTACTATCATCCCCATTTTACAGATGAAGAAACTGAGGCAGAGAGCAGCTAAGTGACCAGTCCAAGGTCACACGGCTAGTAAGTGCTGGAGGCAGACTTTGAACTCAGATCTTCCTGATTCCCAGTCCCACACTCTATCCAGAGCCCCCACCTACCTGCCAGTAGTGACCTCAGCCCCGAAAAGTGGCATGGCAGATATCATCCTTGTTTTACAAACAGGAAAACTGAAGACTAGAGATGTCAAATTATATACTCAAGACCACACATCCAGTTTATGGGGCTGGGTCTGGAACCTAGCTCTGGAATATAAGTCCAGCTCTCTTCTCACTGGCCTACAAGAGTTGCATAGTTGAGGGGATGGGACTCCAGTGTGGAAGCTAATGCTGGAAACACAGAATATTCAAAGGTGGAAGGACTGCACGGATGAAGGCCACAAATCAGGTTGATAGATAATGATAATATTAATAACTCCCATTTCCATATTGTTTTGAGGTCTACAAAGGACTTTTCTCATAATAATCCTATCAGGTAAATAATTATTACCCTGTCACTGAAGCTTACGAAGGTTAAGTGACTTGCCCAGCTGGTAAATGTTGGAGCGTACATTCATGGGCACACACCAGTGGTGGTGTGCCTGATCATCCTCTTTTGACACCGAGCTGGCCGCTTAGGGAAGCAGACAAAGTAGGACCCACCAAAAACACCGAGGACAGAAGGACCCAAATACTGACACTAGAACCAGCTCAACCAGATGCCAGCAAATTGTGGGTGCCCAGGAAAGTCAGGCTCTCCTCCCTCAGAGGTCTGCCTGCTCCAGGATGACACCCCCAACCCCAGTCCCATACACAGAGTAAGCACAGAACTGAGGTATTCCTGGGAAGCAGGCTGCTCTGGGCATTGCTGTCACCAACAGGTGGTTGTCATGGCTTTACCTAGACGTGAGCCAGCATTTCTTCAGGTCCCAGGGGTCGAATGTCTTCTGCAATGGGAGGCTCAGTTTCTTGTAGGAAGAGGTCTTCTGTAAGCATAGCTTTCAGGAGGAAATCAGAACTAGAAAAGAATGGAAGGAAAGCAATCACATACATTGCTGATCATGTTTCCCTCAATCAGTCAATCAATAAACATTTATTAAGCATCTACCATGTACCCGGCACTGGGCTAAGTGCTAAGGATACAAAAAAAAGGCAAAAGACATTCCCTGCCCTCAAGGAGCTTACAGTCTAATGGAGGGGACAACATGCAGACAAACTCATGCAAAGCAAGCTGTAAGCAGAATAAATAGGAAATAATTAAGAGGGAAGGCGCTGGAATTGAGAGGGGTTGGGAAAGGCTTCCTGTAGGAGGCGGTATTTTACTTGGTACTTCAAGGAAGCCATCGAGGTCAGGAGTTGGAGGGGAAGAGGGAGTGCATTCCAGGCATGGTGGCCAGCCATGTTTGACATTCCAACCAATTCACGTGTTCATATTTCATATGTGTTCACCCGAAGTTCAGTGTGCTTGGTTTGTATTTCAGTTCTGTGTCCTCAGATCATTTCATATGCGCTTAAGTGGTCAACTCACAGGTGATTATCCCCAAGTTTTGTTTATACCTAGGCCTGGAGTCAGGAAGATCCCAGTTCAAGTCCAGCCGCAGATATTTACTAGCTATATGACCTTGGGCATGTCACTTAAACTCAGCCTTCCTCAGTTTTCTCATCTATAAAGTGAGGATGGTAAAAGGACCTATCTCAAAGATCGTTATGAGGATATTTGGTAACGCTCTTAGCACAGTGCCTGGCATGTAGTATGCTTCTCGTGCTTGTTTCCTTCTTTCCTTCCTACTCCATTCACGTGTGACTGACTCTCATAACTCAGCAGGCTGAGCTTACATCTGATTTTCCCACCGGTTAGCATGCTCAGCTCATGTGTGATGGGCACAGCTTAGCATGCTCATCTCCTCTTATGTGATTAGCCCCCAGCTCAGTGAGCTTGGTTCATATGCCGCTGTCCCGGGGCTTAGCATGGGAGGTTTACATATCACTAGCTCTCAGCTTAGCACACTTGGATTACATGTCACTAGCCTACATTTAGTATGTTTGGCTTACATGTGAATATCCCACAGCTCAGTGTGCTCAGGCCAACTGTTTAGGAGGGAACCTCCCAGTACAGAAGGAAAATATTAACTCTGCATTCTGGCTTGTCTCCCTGTCCTCTCCCCCACCTCGTTTTTTTTTTTCAGTCAAGCTGTAAACCCCTCTGGCTCCTTCGCCCCTCCTCTCTTGTTCCAGGCGTTGTTGGTTCTACATAGTAATGCCTGTCTTGGAGTTTAGGTTCCGGAGGAGCAGGGGGTAACACTGGGGTAATCCAGGTAAAGTGGAAAACAAAGGCACATGCCCTCTGAGTCTTTTTAGGGACGATTGGGAAGGACTTCAGATGCCCCCAAATCGCATTTGTAGCTTTTCTTCTCTCTGAGAACTCTAGAGATCAACAGACACTGCCCTTCGGTGATTTCCTATCTCACCACTGAACCTTTTCATTGGCCCCAGGCTTGGAATGTTCTCCCACCTCACCTCCAACCTCCTGGCTTTCCCTGACGTCTCCAAGAGTCAGCTCAACTCCCGCCTGCCGCAGGATGCCTCCTCCAGCCCCAACCCCTCCACCAAATTACCATGGACATATATATATACATATACATATATATATACATACAGACATATATATATATATAATATATGTGTGTTTATACATCTTATGTGTACCTAATTATTTGTATGTGTGACCCCCATAAGAAGGTGAACTCCTTTGTGGGCTGGGACTTCATATCCCCAGCACAAAGCACAGTGCCTGGCACACAGTAATCACTGAATAAATGCTTATTTACTGACTGATTAAGAAGATGACCATCTGAGACACGAGACAGGACGTTGCCCTGTGTGTTGATGAGTTAATAAATGAATCCAACCCTGGCTCAGGAGGAGTGGGTGGCCATCTCTAATGGAAAGCCGCACCACTCCTCTCCCTCTTACTTTCTGCCTCTGTTTTCTTTTCTTTCTCCTCTTCTTCTTCCTCTTTCCCCACCTAGTCTACTTCCCCCCCCCCCCCGTGCTTCTTTCTCTTCATCCTCCCTCACTTTCCTCCTCTTTTTCCATGTCCTTTTTGGCTTTCTTCTCTTTCACTCCCCCTGCTTTTTCTCCTCCTCCCTTCCTTTTCTCCTCTTCTTTCTTCTCCTCCGTTCCCCTGCCTGGGGCGACTTGAGCTTGGAGTCAGCACAGTTAACACAAGTAGCAGGAAAAACTCGCCCCATTCTCCAAGCTGCGGAACATCTGTGCCCAGACAAAGCCAGCTATTAATTCTGGGCTTTGTGTGACTGTTTGGGTGTTGAATTC